CATAAAATTCAGTGAATGCTACACTTGAGTAGTGAAAGACAATGTCTCTTGACCATTCCATATGAAAATTGAAGCTATGTCTAACTGCCAGTTGCACAACAGAATGATTTGATGGGAAATCGCAATAGTTTGCGCATCACAGTAGTGTGCAAAACATGAGATACCATGATGAAATCTCTGTGATCCTCGAAGCTGATTGAGACTGCACATGCAAAGAAAATGCGGATACTATAGTCATCACCAAACTCTCACATATTGTGCTGTAGAACTCTGATTTTTGATCACCTCAGCAACTCTGTCCGTTCAGGAACTCTGTCAGTTTCAGTTTTCAGTTGCTCCCTGTGCATGTTCAAATCAAAAACTGGTTCGGCTGGGAAAAAACAAGATGAGGTCCAATGACTTGAACAAACTTGTTTGTGCTCATGAAGATTGAAATCACATGGATTAACCTAGGTTCCCTCTCTCTCTCTCTCTCTCAGGGTTCCAGCTTCTAATTTTCCTGTTGGTTTGGCACCCCAAAATCTGACCCCCACAACTCTACCCCCACTAACCTTTTTCCTACAGGTTTGCTACATGTTTAGTTGGTTGTGGGGGTCAGACTTTGGGGTGCCAAACTAATAGGAAAATTGTTAGTTCCAGCATCGCTCAGTTTGAAAGCAAAAACCCACTTGTGCTCACACCTGTTCTTCCCTGAGAAGCTCCCCCAAAGCAATCCCCACAATTTTCTGGGCGCACACACGATGAGACATTCATATCAATCTAGCCGCAGTCTTGATCCATGTTCAGGTTCACTGGTCCATTGACTGAAAACAATCAAATACAAAGGTAAGAAAACTTGGCACAACTCTTCTAACACGTTCAAGATAGCTGTTGTGAACACACACTGAACGTTGTCACCGCAAAGACTGCTCACATGGCCTAGAAACAAAACCTAGTCAACATCCTTAGGTGATGTAGCTGTCCCATCCTCAGTGTCCATGGTCATCTCCTGGTCCATGATAGCTTTGGCTCCTGTTTTTTTCTTTTTGCGTTGCTTCCTTTTCTTCATGGTCTTTGCAACCTTTGGATGCTTTGGCAAGGCTGTGCTTTCTGCTGGGGATGCTGCTGCTGCTTTTGCCTGTGGTTTTGATTTGGCCTTGGTCTTGGCCTTTGCTTTGGCCTTGGCTAAAGGCCAGGCCTGGTCGAATTCTGCGCCTGCCATCCTGCCAGCCAGTCTTCCTACTGCTTGGGCATCGAGTTTTGTGAACCCACCCTTCATGAGTACTGTCTCGCACCTGTGGTAGGCATTGCTAGTGGTCCTTTGCCTTCTCACTTCTCTGGTAAATTCTTCAGGGCTAAGTTCATGCGCCCTTTTCATGGCCAGCTCCACGGTGTTGTCAGGAATGTAGGTTTTGAGCACCTCTTCATCCTCCTCATCAGCCAAAGTGGAAGTTGCCGCACTTGGCCGCTTCAAGGGAACCATGTCAGGCTCATCCTCCTCGTTGTCCTGTGTTTTGCTACCCTTGCCCCCTGATTTGCTCTTTTGGATTTTTTTTTTGCTTTGCCCTTGCTGTTTCCTTTGGCCTTTTTTGGGGCATTGGCGTTCAACCTTTGGTTCTGGGATTTTCCATCTCTAGAAATGGGTTGTCCTTGGGCAGCGGACTTCAGCAACTCTTCCTCCTCAGGGGACATTTGAAGTGCAAACATGTTTTTCCTTTGTGGGGAATCTTCATATGCTTGATCCCGTGTTTGCCTTTCAAACGTGCTTTGCCTTCCTGCACTCTGCTTCAAATAAGTGATCTCGATTTCTTTCTCCTCATCCTCATCATGTTGATCCAAGATGGAATCAAAAATTGATTCCAATCTTCTCTTGCTGCTCTCTGCTGTTGTCGCTCTGGTCTCAAACTGTTTCGTGCCAGAACTGGCAGATGGCAGGGGTGTGGGGGATGGTCCCGGTGTGTCTTGGGACGTTTGGCTGTCTTCAGCTTGGGCAGGTTGGGGCTGGATGAGGGCAAGCTGTGTCTCTGCGGCTGCGTCGATGTTGATCAAAGCCAGTACGGCTTCTAGGGCTTGCTGCTGATTTTGGTCACATTTCCTGAATGCTTGTTCTTTCTTCTCTGAGTTCTGCCGCAAAATCCTGAAGTGAGAAAGACCCATCCTGACAATGTCAATGATTATGTCTGCAAAGTCTTCGCTTGTTTTTCTTGTGGTGTTCACTATCTTTTTGTTCTCCAGTAGTCGTACTATAGCTTGCCGATGTTTCTTTGAAGAGATGATTGTGTTTGGGGCCACCTCGACATAGGACTTGAAGAGTGGATTCAAGGAAGCTAACCAACTTGTAGGGCACCCGCTCTTCCAACTGGCACAAGCCGGAGGGGACAACAGCTTGTGAATGTTTGGTTCCTGCTCCTCAGCTGCAAACTTCTCCAAGGGCTGAGCGAGATCCCCAACACCTACGGTTGGATCCGCCACAAGCCGAGCGCGCGGTTGGCGCAACATGCAGCATACACAGGACACCAACACTTCGAAAAACAACTATGTCCCTGCCTATAGAGCCCAAAGCCTTGTTGAAAATACTTGGAAAAATGACGCCAAACACAAATACATAAACCCATGAGATTGGTTAAAATTTCACATGGTCCCCAAAAGTCTCTCAAAGTCTCTCAAAGTTTTTAAGAGTCCCTCAAAATCCCTCAAAGTCGCTCAAGGTCGCTCAAGGTCTCTCAAGGTCTCTCAAGGTCTCTCAAGGTCTCTCAAGGTCTCTCAAGGTCTCTCAGGGTCTCTCAGGGTCTCTCAAGGTCTCTCAAGGTCTCTCATGGTATAGTGTTCATTAGAACAAAATGCTGTTGTAAGAGAGAGAGAGAGCAGGTCGCCATCTCACATGTTTGTGCTACCCGTGGTTCGTGAAATCACTGTGTGCTTCTGCCACGTCACAGTGCTAAGAATTCAAACAAAACAATGGTTCGCCTTTTATAGTTGTGTAGCGAAAACTCTCTCAATATAGTTATTCCCAAGTAAATTTAGCAACACCTTCTTGAGATCCCTCATGCCTGCAAGTCACCACAGGGTAAGAAATTCTGCATGCTTTGAAAAACCTAATTTGACACAACAAACAGACACATGTAATGCTATAAGTAAATATGTAAATATATACATAAATATTTTGAGAAAATGCAGAGAACTTCTATAAATAACTGTGGTCTGTTGTTTCACAGTATCTTGGGCAGGAACTGCAAACTTGTTTCTCGATGAGCTCTCCAGGTTCCATCTTCCATGGTTCCTCAGGGCAATATAGTTCACACTGTTTCTCTCGCAGTTTCTCTCACGGTTTCTCTCAAGGTTTCTTTCACAAGGTCTCTCTCAAGGTTTCTCAAGGTTCTGAACGTTTGTCAAACTCTTTGATGTTCCTTTTTTTTGTTATTATAGAGTGGATAGTATATATATATATACATACATGTGTGTGTGTTTACCTAGCATATACTTGTACATGAATGGGCGCATGAAGCAAACACTGCACAAGGCCTTTCATGGTATATGATTTTTGTATATATTGAATGACTCCGGCATTTGTTTTTGGTGTATGGTTCCTCAAGGCTTCTCACCCGTGCGTGCGACCTGCAAAAAAACAAGACCCTGTTGAATTTTTATATCTATAATATATGAAAAGTAAATAGTTTCCTCCAGGTCTCCCTTGTCTTTGCAGTAAATACTGCAAGAGAATTGCGTGCGGTGCTTGAGGCACTCCCCCAGATCAAAATTATACCAATCTTTCAAATTTTGAAAACACACACACAGATATATATGTGTGTGAATATGTATATATATATTATGGGGCACTCCCTTTTTGAGACACCCCCATTTATAAATATGAACACAAACACGCATATATCGGTTTTGTCCATATATATATATACACATACATGTAGATAACCAAAACCTTATATATTATTTTATTTATTTTTATATATACACATATACGTAAAAATAAATAAATAAATAAACAAATATATATACATTTTCCAAAACGCACATGGCACATGCAACACACATGCAACAGAAGGCAGCATATACAGAGACATCTGATAAAAGGAAATGAGGCTATATATATGTGAAAACTGTTTCTTTCAATAAAAAAAACACGTCGTAGTTCGGTCGTAGTTTGGTCGTAGTTTTCAATTTGAACTCACAAAATCGTATCGTAGTTTGATCGTAGTTTTGCAAAACCATAAAAAAAACACGGTCGTACTTTGATAGAAACTCTGTCCTACTTTCGACCCTCTTTTGTGGATGGGAGGGTGCCCAAATCTAACTAATAGTTAAAAAAAATAAACTAATAGTTAGAATCAAGGGTTGGGAAATCTATAGATTTTTGGTTTTCACGATGCACAAAATCGGCACAAAGAAAAATAGAAAATATACACAGCACAATTTGCCGATTTCGGCAACCTTCAAACTAACGATTTTGAAAAATAGTCTACTTCCCAGGAATCTGACTAATAGTCAGAAACGAGGCTAATTCAATCTATTGGGAAGGGATCGTTTCCACGAATGCCGATCAGCTCGAATCTCTTTGCCAAGCTTGTCACGAGTATATGCAACCTTCTTCCAAGCTTGGTTTTTTTGATACGCCGGGCGTTTCAGCACGGCCCTACCTTTGCCACGCTTGGGATCGGGGAATGGATTGAACTTGCGCACCATGAGGAGGACAAGAGAAACCAGAGCTGCTTCACCTTTTGAGCCACAAACTACAGATACGAATGGAAAGGTAAAGAGACAGACAGCCAGCACAATGCAGACAAGGGCATGCTTTGACATGGAAGATTTCAATGTAATGAAGAGTAAGCACCATGTAAAAGCAGACTACAGCAGTGAGACTTTCGAAACGACTTGACTGCAACACAGCACAATTTGAAGACAATCTTTTTTCCTGGCCAAGCAAGCTCTGGAGATATTGTTCATGGATGCACCTGACCCATGTTAAAGCTGCACATGACGCTACCATATCTATTGCCTCAGCAGATTCACGCATCGTCCGTCTGCATGTTCTCCATTGCCTCCTCTAGCGCTGCTGCCAAGTCATCTCCTTCACCAACGTTGGGAAACGACTCGTCGTCTTGCATGCCCAGGAATGAAGGATTGGGCGGACCAGTGCAAGAAGGCCGAGGACGCTTCACAGGAGAAGGAGAACTCAAATCGATGAATGTCCGGGGCAAACGCTTCAATGCTTTGAAGAACTGCGCCGACTTTTCCTGCTTCACTTTGGCTTTCATCTCGGTCGACGGCAGGAGAGAGGGAGGATGATACGTTGTAGACGCTTCTGCACCAAAGAGAGATTGTTGGCGAACAGTGATGGTACGTGGAATGTCTTCGCCACGCAGCAGTTTGCCGATGAGCTCTTGTGACCAGATAGCGTCTTCATGGAATCTTGGGGGAAGACAATGACCGTCAAGGTTTCGTTTGTACTCCTGGAAGATGACCTTCTGGTCTTCGGCCAGTAGATCCCGCGGCTCATTGGCAGGCCAGGTGATGAAGTCCACATTTCCTTTGTCTGTGCGTGCGAGTCGCCAATACACAGCAGCATCTGTCAAAACAATGAGATGCGTCCTGGCCAGGATCGCATTCATGTCTTCTGGGTCTTCAACACCTGCGAAGGACGGACCAATCAGGTCAAGGAAATCCTTGCGGGAAATGGTCTTGCCATTCTTCAGGGCCTCCTTGATGATGCTCTCATCCACTTCCGCATTGTACGGGTTAGTACATGCATGACGCCCGGCTCCTTGATCAAACTGAGCAGAAGAGTAACGTGCCCACACGGTGGCATCTTCTTCCTGCGAAAAGGCAGAATGCGCACACAAGCAAGGGTATACTTAGACGTGAAACTAGACAGAGGGCAATGCGACCCAAACAACTCCTGGATACACATTCAAAAAGTGCAGCCAAGGCGCAGCAGGATTGAGGAAGGCTTTCAGAAAGGATGCGTCCATCTTTTGCAACAAGCCATCGTCAAAGACGCCCGGCTTGAATTTGGTCAAAGGCCCCGCCTTGAAGAAGTCCAGGTGCGTGGCCGTGACAATCAAAGGAACGAGATCAGATCGCCCAGCTTCATCAATCTCGAATCTAGATTGGGCAAACAGCATGGTCTTGGAGCCAACGGATTTGCCAACTCTTGTTTTGCCAATCCAAGTCACAGCATGTTGACGCATGGTTGGAATCATCTTGACAATCACATCATGCAGGAACCAAGGGACAAAGGAGCGCAAAGTGAAGGGCCAGTACTCCAAAGTTTTGGCATTTTGGCGACCACGGTAGTAGTTGTTGAGGGCCTCTTTCACTTTGCCCTCCGGCCATCCTTCAAGGGGACCACCTGGTGTATGGATTTGATCGTCTGTCCATTCCATGAACTGGTTCCTGTTGTTGGAACGAGGCCCATTGTCACGGATGTACTGATATCCTGCTTGACGGGCACTTGCATCCGGAGCCATTTTTTTTCAAATTTGGGACCTATGGACCACAAACGCACCTGGATGCCACCGAGGCGATCGAGCATGAAGTTCAAGCCTGCCAACGCCAAGCGAGTCTGGCTACCCCATTCGAAGCGCACAGGAATGCCGAAGCAATGCGTCATCAAGTCTTTGGCCCATACCTTGTTCTTGTGCAAATAGACATGCTTGAAGATGTCCACGTACGTGTGTTCCTGATCCGGGGGCAAATGTGCTGGCACAATGATAAATTGCATGCTGTAGGGCACAGTCGGCTCTGTTTTGAGGCAGAAAGGTTCTGGCAGGTCACGGTACTTGCTTTGTGCACATAGTGGATAGAGCGTGGAATCCAAGAATCTTTGGTCAACCTTGAGAGGGTCTTCAGAAACATGATTTTGGATGATGTCGACGAATTGTTCACATTTGCCGCTTGTGGTAGACATATCTCTCAAGGCAAGTCAATGAGCCGAAGATCTCCTGGAGCACGATCCCCTTTTAGTGGCTTCATGAGTGGACCAAAGAGTTTTTGCCCTTGAACTTGTACACAAGCTTCCTCAAAGGTCAGCGCCCCATCTCTTTCTCCAAGTTCATGTCCGAAGCTTTCGGCGAAGGATAGCTCCACAGCAGCCATGCCAAAGTCGGAAGTGTCACGAAGCAGAGTATATGTCACTTTGAGCTTATCAAGCCTTGAGAAAATGCGCACAGACGAGACATTGACAGACATGTGTTGAGTGGCAGGGAATTTGAAGCAGTAGCCAGTTTCGAGATCTTATTATATTTGAAATGTTCTTTTAGTTTTGGTTTCCTTTTATTAACATTAGTTTCTAAAGTTTCTAACTACGTGTCATGGAGCACTGAAGCAAAAGTCTTTTTTCTCGAAGCGATGCTAGTGACAAATGTCATGCACAGCCCCATCGCCAGCGGAACTCCCTTCCTCGTCGCTGCAGATATGCCTCAGGCGGAGTCTGCGGTGGTGGACCGGGAGGTGTCCACGGGGCGAGCAAAGCTAACTGCTCTGGAGGTGCCAACAACAATTCTGGTGGAGTGTGAGGGACAGCCACTCCGTCAAGCCACACCCCAGTCAGTTGAGGTGGCGTTTGTGGCGCAGCATCCCATTCGGGGATGTCTACCCACTCATCGTCAGACATTGCCACGGGAGTTTGTGGCGCAGCATCCCCTTCGGGGATGTCTACCCACTCACTCTCATTGTCGTTGTCAGTGTGGTCGGGCCTAAGTCAAGGTGCTGGTGAAGGATTGGGGCCAATGGCCTGACCTGTTCTTTTCAGCCAAGATACTCCTCTGGGATAGCGGCGCCAGTGTCCACCTCCATGCGGTCAGCGTTGCCGCGTTCCATTGCCATAATCGTCACAGAAGTGCACCTGAGAATTATAGGAAAATATGGGTTTTGGGATTTCTATGTATAGACATATGTTTATGATTGTTTATGTATATATATATATATATGTGTATATATATATATGATATCTATGTTTGTGATCTATTTAGTTGTCCTTGATCTTCCAGTAGAGTTGAATGCGAAGGTCACTAGCAAAGGCTGGACTTTTGCTCACCAAAATGGGCTTCTCTCAAAAGGGGCGCTACCCCAAGGGGCCCGAAAGTGGCAGTTTTTTCATGAGCACATAGATCACATAATAGGAAAAGGACCAAGCTTTGAGACGCTTGATTCACAACAATGATGTTCTCTGCGAAACAGGGAATATATGATTGTTCAATATGCATCTTCAGTCCAAACATGGGGATTGAAGCAATAAACAGTTGGGGACACAACTTCAAAATGCTTCAAACAAGTTGAGAGTCCAACTCCCAAGTCTAGTGCTTGGTCGGTGTTGGTGTAATCAACCCAGTGGGAAAGATGACACGATATCCGATGTCACGAAGAAAACACGTGGATAAAACCAGCACAAATACAATATATATCACGTACATATATGTATATAATAAAATATATATATACAATATAATATATTATATATAATATAAAATATATGATATAAAATATATAATATAAAATATATAATATAAAATATATGTAATCTAATATATAATATAGTATAAAATATAATATAATATATAATATATATAATATATATAATATATATTATATATATAATATAATATATAAATAATATATATATAAAATATAATATATATATAATATACCATATAAAATACATATAATATATATAACATGTATAACATATATAATATATAATTTAATATATAATAAATATAAAATATAATATACTATAATATAATATAATATAAATAAATTATATATATAATATAGTATAATAAAATATAATGTAATATAAATATAATATAATATAATACAATATGATATAAAAAATAATTATTATATAATATTATATAATATAACAATGTATATATATATTTAACATGTAATATAAGAGCTATACATAGTAATAATAGTAATAACAATAATGATAACAACAACAACAATCATAACAATGATAATAACAATGAAAACAATAATAATAACAATGAAAACAATAATAATAATACTAATAATAGTAATAGCAATAAAAAAATAAAATAACAATAATAATATATAACAGAATCATATTTTGGTGGACCCTAGTTTCAACATTTGTCAAACCGACAATTCCAAATTGATCCCGTAGCTGCGCTCACCACCAGACCTGAATCACCGTGTCCCATCTCAGTAAAGCTTTGGGGCATCGCAGTCTGATCCCAAATTCTTTATGGTTAAAGATAATCTGGTTATCTGGATATCTTTTTTAGATTAGGATATCTATCTGGATAAATATCTTTAACCTATAGCTATCTATAAAGATTAGATATCATCTATATCCATAGATTTACATTTTACCTATCTATACCATTCTATATCCCATCTATCTAGTATAGATTAGATATTTTAATATATTTAGCCTAGAGGACCTTCTTCGATTTTCCTTAGATGACGATATCATCGACGATATATTTAACCTATCTATATCCAATCGATGTATCTATCTACCGGAATCTACCCGATTGTAGACGGACATGGCTTGGATCACCCGCTAGCTGCTGCTCCTTGGGTGCAATGGCTGCATTCCATTTCTCCCAGTCGTCGGACCTGGGCGAAAAACGGCGTAGACGTCGACACGACGTCGTTTTTTACCCGTGGCCAAATGCATTGTGGACCCGTGGCAAACCATAATGATTTACTATATTATATGATATCTATTAAATGTTAATATCTATGAATATTATTATTATACACTATTGACTAACTATTGAATACTACTGAGAAGTAACCATAATGCTAAGTTACGTGTACTATGAATAACTTAACATAAAATCCACGACAATCATTTAAGGCTTCCAATCATGCCTAACGATTAAGCAATTATAATGAATGCTAAATCCATGTATCCAAATTGGGTGTACCAATTTAAGAAAACAAATGATGGGGAACATGATATACTCCATGAGATTTCTGGGCATACCAAATTTCCAGACAAAGCCACATCTGAAATGATGCGATTTTGGGCCGCAGTGGCACCAAGAGCTGAGCCGGCAACCCAAGACAAACCGCGATTTGGGCGTCAAAGATTAGTTCATATTGGTGCCATGATCCAGTGGTCCAAATATATTTCAATCATCCATTACAGATCTTGACTCAAGAGTACCATACTTTGGTCATTATATATATATCATCCATTGTATTCCATTATATATATGATCATCATTTATATTAGACCTGCCTTCATCCATTATATATATATATGAGCCATGGTCAATACTCACTATATGGTTGATGGTCATCCCATCCATAATAAGGATCCTTATAATGGTTATTATAAATCCCTATGAACCATTGGATGACTAGCCCCTATTAATGGCTATTAACCATGAGTATTGACCATAGCTCATATGATCATTGAGCACCATTGCGCCATCATTCGCTGACCCGTGGCATTGGGCCAAGGCCCACCGTCGGCCAAGTCGGGAAGCCCGACGCAAGCTCGCGCGCCTGGGCGAGCTAAGATCTCCCAAGAAATCATCAATTTTCCCGGTGGTAGGTTGTTCTAAAAGCCTACAACCATTAGTACCATCTGGCTATGACTAACATAGCCATGGAAAATCACCATTTTTAATAGGTAAACCATCTATTTTTATGGGCCATTTTCCATAGCTATGTTGGTCATAACCAGAGGGTAGTAGTGGTTTTAGTGACAGATGGAGGCTGAAACTGCCAGGAAGATGTCAAGCTTCTTGGCGCTGAAGAGTTGTGTTATTCAAGGATATTCAAGGATAGAAAAAAGCCTGTGCAGGATATAGATGAGCCACTTCTGGCAGAATCACAGCTGGAATCACAGCCTGTTTGAATGTCTCCTATTTGACTTCCTGCTACAAATATATAGACGTTGATCGTGTTTCCAGTATCAAACTGCAGTGATTGCATGAAGTATGTCTTGCTTTGCCAGCCATCACGAAATCAGCATGACTAGTTGAAATCTGCTTCAGCACATCTGGCATTGGTGTCACGGTGTCACAAGTGAAATCTCCAGCACCACTAATATGCCATGAATTGCCATCGTGAAAGAAACCAGCTGAGTGCAGCTGCTTCAACACCAAAAATCCTGAACTTCGATTATAAAAAAAACAAGGCTTCCCAAAAATCCATACTGAGAAAACGAATCTGAATGATTCATGATGTTTCCCAACCAAGCAAAAAATACCATGGGTTTGTCTGAAAATTGGATATCCTTACAATGGTTGATCATCATGTTTTCCAGGAACATGGCAATCTACTCGGGCTTCCTCCATTTCTGGACAAGCCCACAGCCAGGATGTATAGCAACCATCATGAACCATCCCATTGACAAATGTGATAAACGATGGCTTGTGGGCTACTATATTTTTTCCAAACAACCATGAAACATCATGAAAATCTTGGAATTGCTTAAGACTCTCCAATTAAACATCATTAAACATCATTCAACATCATTAACCATTAAACATCATTAACCATTAAACATCATTAACCATTAAACATCATTAACCATTCAACATTAACCAACTAATCCTTTTCTTTTTTCCTTGTTTCATGCTCCAATCGATCCATGACTTTCCGGGAAAATCTTCGAGACGTCGAGACGGCCTGGGGCACTCCCAGAATGGTCGGCACCTCCTGGAACCATTTCCTGAGCAGAATTTCCAGGGACGTTTAGCCATAGGAAAATGGAGCTTTTAATGGGAAAACTATAGGAAAACCATAGGAAAGCCATAGGAAAATGGAGGTTTTAATGGGAAAACCATAGGAAAACCATAGGAAAACCATAGGAAAACCATAGGAAAATGGAGGTTTTAATGGGAAAACCATAGGAAAACCATAGGAAAATGGAGCTTTTAATGGGAAAACTATAGGAAAACCATAGGAAAGCCATAGGAAAATGGAGGTTTTAATGGGAAAACCATAGGAAAACCATAGGAAAACCATAGGAAAATGGAGGTTTTAATGGGAAAACCATAGGAAAACCATAGGAAAATGGAGGTTTTAATGGGAAAACCATAGGAAAACCATAGGAAAACAATAGGAAAACCATAGGAAAACCATAGGAAAACCATAGGAAAATGGAGCTTTTAATAGGAAAACCATAGGAAAACCAATAGGAAAATGGAGGTTTTAATGGGAAAACCATAGGAAAACCATAGGAAAACCATAGGAAAATGGAGGTTTTAATGGGAAAACCATAGGAAAACCATAGGAAAACCATAGGAAAACCATAGGAAAAATGGGAAAACCATAGGAAAACCATAGGAAAACCATAGGAAAATGAAAAAAACCATAGGAAAACCATAGGAAAACCATAGGAAAACCATAGGAGGTAGGAAAATTTAATGGGAAAACAATAGGAAAACCATAGGAAAACCATAGGAAAATGGAGCTTTTAATGGGAAAACCATAGGAAAACCATAGGAAAACCATAGGTTTTAATGGGAAAACCATAGGAAAACCATAGGAAAACCATAGGAAAACCATAGGTTTACCCTCTGGTAAACGTTTACATAACTATGGAGAATCACCATCTTTATTGGGTAAATCAACTATAAATGGGCCATTTTCAATAGCTATGTGAGTTTACCGGAGGGTAATCAGCAAACATCTATGTATCTATCTATGTACCATTATGTATCTATGTACGTACGTACCTACGTATGTCATGCATATCATGTCATGTCATGATCCAACACCATATGTTTTAGGGTTGTGTTTTTGGGTGGAAGGGATTAATTGTCCAAGTTTGGATTTTGAAGTCATTGGGTTTGTCTGCTATAGATTATAGGATACATCATTCCATCCACTGC